TCTCCCAATAAGATACAATATTTGTAGTTCCAGCAGAGACTACTCACGTGTTTCTTAATATGTTTATAGAAGCAGCATATAGTTTGAGTTTGGCGTCCTAGCCTCGGCCATCATCCACATAATTTTACAAAGAACATTGAAGTGATGATTAGATAACTATCCCCCGAGCCTACAGGTGGAAGCTGGTGGAAGCTGGGTGGTGGGGGGGCAGCAAGCAGCAGCAACATGAAACACAGCAGCAGGAACATGAACGCAGCAATAGCAAGTGAACAACAGCAAGTGGCAGCAAGCAGCAACAGCGAGGCAGAGCAGGAAGACCTGGCAGCCTTTAGATAGAGCGGCATGTTTAGGAGAATGGTGTTTTGGTTGTTGTACGAGGACGAGGTGGCGTCACGTGTTAATGTATCATTGGTGCTCAAGTTGACCTGCCTGAACTAGCTCGCAGGCTTCGCCCATTTGTTTTATAACCCCAACTCTATCTAAAATCCTTGCAGGAATTCCCCAGGGGGAATTGGCCACCAATGGATTTTGTGTCACATTGTCTGGGCTCTTCTTTTTCTCGTCACTTTTCCCAACTCTAAACCAACCAGCCCTGGCTGCCGGGGCGTCAAATAGAAGTAAACAAGCACCCTCTTTGGTTTAAAGACTGAAAGGAAATGGAGAAATCAGGATGCCCTAAGCTTCTCCAATCATCAGGCACTGCTGGGCTGTGTCTTAATGGACAAACATCAGACAAAGACTGGAACCGATTTCCGCAGTAAAAAGACCAACTTAATTGTCACCTGTGGCAACTTTCGAGTAGGCTAAGATGATTTAAAAAGTGCTAATTGTCATGAAAAAGTTTGGATTTTGGCGAAGTCGATTTATTCTTTGAAGCCCGACCTTGGCAGCCTCTTTTCAAGGAGCAATGTGGTTAAGATTGTCCAGCAAATGTGACCAGTGATGTGAAAACTGGTCCCTAAAAACTGAGGCCTCAAGCAAAAGTTGATGTGGCAGGTACTGAAGATACCTAAAAAGTATGTTAGCGAATACCTTGGCCGATACAAGAACATATAAGAAATCTGCCTTTTTTAGATGGTGTTATTTTCTAATATAAAAATAAGGACAAGCCAGTTGTTCATTTCTAATATTTGAAGTATCTAAAGTACAGAAGAAAAAGCCAGTATTTGACCTTTTATTTTGGTATCAGTAA